AACCATTTTCTCGGATGTTTCTAATTTCTTATACTGTTCATATGTGAACTGGAAAAATCCCTTCTTGGCTATTGTAGTGATGATGCCAGCCTTTCTTATGGAATGGTGAGGGACTAATTTATATGTAAGTCTTTCTCATGAACTGAATGAGCTATCGCTGAAATGTTTCCTTTCTTCTTTCTCACCAAGCCAGATTATGTTCTCTGCAAAATACTGGTTGTTAATGAGTCTTTCTCAAATCCAAATGCCACAGTATTCTTAATACAATTCAACTTCTTGGGTTAGCCTGTCAGTATACAGATTGCGCAGGTATGATGAAAGGATGCAATCTTGAAACACACATTTCCTGATAGTCAACCACGTAGAACTACCTTGTTTGAATTACTGCTTCCAATTCCTGTCAATGTTATCCATAATTTGTTAAGATCTACCCAATCTCATATCTTTGTAGTCAATAAAACACAAATAAACATATTTTTAATATTTGCTACTTTCAGTCAAGAGTAAAGGCCCCAAAACTTTCTTAAACCTCAAGTGTATGAAAGTCATTCATGAACAGCAGAGTGTTAGAAAAGAAAGACTCTTATTCAATGGGAATTTGGTGTCCTGGGGAGTCAAGAGTTGTGCTATGGATTCAAAGGCAAGTGGTTAGAATCCAGCAGCTACTGTGCAGAAGAAAGATGGGTAATCTCCTCTCATGTGATTTACAGCCTCTGGAAATCTGAGGAAGAGTCAATTATGAGTTGGTTCTCACCCAACCACACATGACAACAACACTAATACAAAGTGTCTTGTGATTTATGCAAGATCCTATTGATAGTCTTTTTCTTTTGAAGCACTTGCTGCAGAAGGTCAAGGACTGTTGTCTTCAGTTTGGATTGAAACCAACACCAGGAAGATGAAGATTCTCACCACTGGGCCACTTGGCAGCACCACGATGGGTGAAGAAGAGATTGACGTTGTTAACAGTTACAGCTGTTTCAGCTCCACAATCAACACTTCTGGCACCAGCAGTCAGGAAATAAAAAACAAACTGCATTAGATAGATCTGCTGTCAGGGACCCCTCCAGAGTACTAAGAAACAGCAGTGCCAGACTAGAGACTGAAGTGTGCCTGATCCAGTCCTTAGTCTTTGCAATTACTTCTTATGCATCAGAGGGCTGGATAATGACTAAGGAGAATAAAAGAAAAATTGATGCCTTTGAGTTGAGCTGGAGAAGAGCCTAGAACATACCATGGACTGCCAAGAAAACAAATAGCTCTGTCTTGGAGAGGGTGAAACTAAGTTTCTCCTTAGAGGCTAGGATTTTGAAGCTCTGTCTCACATATTTTGGGCCCATGACCAGGAGGAACCTATGCTTGGAGAAGACACTATGCTCAGAAGGGTGGAAGGAATGAAGGGCTGTGCAAAAATGAAGATCCTGGATGAAATGGATTGATTCAGTGACTAGGGCAATGGGGTAGAAGCATCTGAGTCAACAAGACTGGCTCAGGACAGGGCAGTTTTCAGAGCTATTGTACATATGTTCGCTATAAGTCACAGGTGTCTTGATGGCACATAACAACAGCAACAACAAGATATTTAAAGGAATTCTCTGAAAGTAACAGCTCACAGATCTGATGATTGACAACATGATTTCCTGGAGTATGCGGGAAACCTTAAAGCTCCCTTTATATTCAATTTTTATGTCATAATCTTCATATTTCTACACATTCAATATATTTACCGCTTAAATACATACATATATATTTTATGATTATTTAGGGTATGAATTAATTTATTACAAAGTCCTCAAGCTCATATTTTCCATCATCTTTGGTCACAGGTAAAGATTATTATTCAGAAATTTTAAAAAATGATAGCCAAAGCAAGTCTTTTCGCCAAATATTTTTTAAAACTTGAGTTTTTAAAAGTTAAAGTTTTTAGAAGTTTTAAGTTAAAAATAAAACCTGTCACGGAAGATAATTTGCAAATGGAAAAAAAAGTATTAATTCCCTACTTCATGTCTATGGACGCCTGATGATTTAGTCACATTTCCTTCCATGCAATTTATATGCTTGGCCTACATGACAACCCACTAAAGGGCCAGCTATGAGAACCCAATGACAATGAGGTTTTTTAAAATTTTTTCCCTTGTATAAAATTTCTAACTAAAATTAATATTTACACAGATGTATTAAAATACACTTACTAAGGATGACGGGAGAAGAATCAACACATTTGAGTTGTGGAGTTGGAGACGAGTGCTGAATATGTAAGTGAACTGCCAAAAGAACAAGCATTTGTCTTGGACAAAGTACAACCAATTCCTTGCAGGCAAAGATGGTGAAGCTTAGAATATACCCAAGAAAGTGAAAACTGAGGCTTAAACAGACACTTGTATGCCAGTGTTCACAGCAGTATTATTCAATATCACTAGAACATGGGAACATCCAAGGTGTCCAACCACAAACGAATGGATTGAGAAACTGTGGTACATTCACACAATGGAATACTATGCAGCATGTAGGAGCAATGATTTTGTAAATTACTACCTATCTTGGGAGGGACTGGGGAACATTGTACTAAAGGAACTAGCTCAGTCCCACAAGGACAAATACTGTTTAAAACCGTTATTGTAGAATGAGTATGAGGATCCAAGGCTGGAGAGAGGGTGGAAGCAGAGGGGTGAGGATGGGCAGGGGTGTTGTGGGGATTTAATCATAGGGTTGTACAGTTCAATGGGTGAGGAAGGGTGAAGAAAATGGGAAGGATCTTGTGTGAAAAACGATGCATTCAAACTTTGTAAATAAATCAGTATAAAATTTTTAGAAAATGGGGGGGGGAAGATGGTGAAGCTTCTCTCACATATTTTGGGCATATTGTTAGAGAGGCAATCCCGTGCCAAGGGACATCATGTTTGGAAACGTGGAGAGCTAGCAAAAGAAAGGAAGACCCTCAGGAGATGGATTGACTCAGTGCGCGAGGCACTGGGCTCAAATGTGTCAGCGTTAATAAGAATGGCGTAGGAAAGGACGGGTTCCAATCATAGGACAGGTGCCCAGGGTCACTAAGAGTCATAGAGGACTCGATGGCACTTAACAACAATCACCCAGTGCCACAAAGTTGATTTCAACTCACAGAAAGCAAAACTGCTCCCAAGCTCTAACCTGTGGTACCCTAATCTATTAAAACCCAAAGAGAAGATGTCCCATGGGGTTTTCAAGTCTATTCTTCTAGGGAATAAGACTACCACATCTTTGTCCTTCCAAGAAGCTGATTTATTTGAACCATTCACCTTACAGCTAGAAACGCAGCCCTTAATCACTGTGCCGCCTGGATTTCATATATTCACTGATAAGGATGTGGAATGAAAAAGAAATCTCTAGATATCACTAGGGAGATCTGTTGGTCTGGTGGCAAAAAGCTGTGCTGCAATCGCAAAGGTGTGTGGTTCGGGGCCACCAGCTGCCCTGCTGAAGAAGGATGGACAATCTCCTCCCATGTGATTAACTGCCTCTGAAAACCCGCCAGAGAGTCAGCTATGGGTTGGTTTCGACTTTACAGTACACAACAGCAACAACAACAACAAGAACAACAACAGATATTACTGGTTTGAGGTAAAATAATACATATATATTTAATATATGTATCCTTAATATAATAAGCAACAATGTTTATTCATGCATTTCTTGTATTTATTACCTTTGAATTATGGTGTTGGTTGTTTTCATTCTACTCAGGAGACATTAGGATATAATACACATTTTAGAAAGAATACTGGTTTCCTGTGGTGAACAATCTTCTGGTAACTTCAGGATCCCATCCAGCATTTTTAAATTTGGCAAGCAGGAGAATACGCTAAAGCAAAATTAATAAACAACAACAAGGAAAAGGTAACTAAATTGAACAAAAACCTTTTATCTCACTTACTCTTCAAAAAGGAATGTTGTAGTTTGTTGTTATAAGAAAAATAAGAGACTCTCCGTTTACTCTGTTTTTCTTATCTTCTAAATGGAAATAAAGTGTTAGTCACATTCATGGACTTGATGGATCCTACTCTAGTTTGCTCTATTTGGAATCTAACAGATCTAGAAGCCGATGGTCAGTATTGATCAGAGAGTTAGGGTTGTATAATTTGTTTTTAGAAAAGAGTTTCATTCTAGGTTTTATAAAATCCTATAAAGAAGAAGGAAAAAAAATGAATGAGTAGATGTCTCTGACTATGAAAAAGTGAGATCATACCACATGTGTGCATTATAAAGTTAGAAGGTTGAAAATAAAAGGATAAAAAGAGAGGTAATCCCTGTTGTTCTTTGTATAATAATTATTAAGGGAAGAATTCTGGCTAAGAGGTTGAGAAAAAAAAATTGTGCTGTGTTACTTTTTCTTGAAAAAGAATGTTCTTGAAGGTTATACTTCAAATGTAGCACTCTACCGCCAGGTTCAGGAAGGGGTCCAATTTCACTGAACCAGCATGATGGTCATGTACCTGCACTGTTAGGTAACAGTGTTCATTTAAGTGGGTAACCTTCCTAGATATGGGAATTCTGAGATTCAGGCCAGAAGAAATACATTGCATCTCATGTTGCTGGGATGAAAAGTACTAAAATCTCTTCGTAGATGTGTTAAATCACACAATAAAAGTGCTGAACTCTTGCAAACATCCACAGACTACATGTCTTCTTGGTATTAAATGGCTTTCCACACATTAGCTCATTTAATTCTTATTATCAACCCTGAGAAGTAAGTTTTTATTCCTATTTAAGTAACCTAGCTAAAAAAAAAAACATAAAGCCAGTGACCAATTGAGATTAAAACCTAAGTCTTTGGCTCTGGTACTCTCAGTAAGCTGCCAGAGAGTCCTAACAAATGGTTCTTTTAAAAAAAAAAAAAAAAAAGTCAGGCTGTGGTGAACCAGGATCATATCAGCTCCTGGAGATTGGCATGAGTTTGTCTGGGGCTGTCCCAGGAAGTGGGCTTCTCTTTGCCTACAGAACTTACACTATTAGCTCTATCATTAAATCCTTTCTCTTTTGAACTGTGCTGTCTTCTTACTGGAGGATCTGAAACAGAGGAACGAGAAGAGTCACAAATCTAGGTGACAATGAGCAACAAATTCTCATAGGTTTTGGGGGTTTTGTTTGTTTGTTTGTTTTGTTTTGTTTTTAAATCTGAACATCTTATAAGGACCATTGAATGTCTCTTTCAAATTCTTGACATAAAGCTACCCAGTGACCAAAGAAAGATCTTAAAGTAGAGATTTGTGACTGAGAACAGAACTCAAAGTATGGACATGGGTGGGACTTGAACTTGGTTCCTCTCGTGAGTGGATGCGTAAACATTTTCCTCCTACTTTGACATGATCGAGCATTTTCAAGCTCATTCAAAACAATCCTATGCTGCCGCCTAAGTCAATATAACCTGGCCTTATATAGCTTGAAAGTCAACATATGTCCATGTTGGACAGAATCCAAGGCAGTTAATAATGGAAATGCAGTAGAACCTCATTATAGCGCCCTTTTTCACATAACTCCATTCTGTATTATGGATTTTGAGGACAGATTTATAGCGAGACCTTGGAGCATATCAGATTTCAAACAATTAATCTTAATCATATTGTTGTAAGTCTCTCTTTGAAAGGAGCAAAGTGACTGTGTTGGGACCAAAATGTTTCATAAAATACCACACATAAATCCAGAAAAAGAAAATATGCTACTGATAAATTATCTCTGTGACGAGGAAAGAGCTATATATGAGCTATGTTGAAATGTCCAGCTAAATCAGTACTGGTAGCAGAAAATAGAATTTTTAACTCCCAAAACAATATCATAGTTAAATATTTGTTCCATAGTAAAAACAACTGTGCTGTAGGTATTCAACATTACACACAAGCAGTTTGAGAATTTACTATCACAAGAGATGTCATTTTGCTTCTAGACAGCAATCCCAGAGGAGACAACTGAAGTAATGAGATGTATGTGGTAAAAATGGAGATTAAAGTTCTTATTTTGACAATTTATCATGTACATCAGGCCTTGAAGAGCCCAATATTCTATAGGCTTCTGGAATTTAGCTGCTGTCATGGGGATACAGCAATGTGAGAAAAGGAGGGGGGTGAGAAATAGGTCTTCTGTTGAAATTGGATGTGGATGAAAGGCTGTAATTATAGGACGGGGCACACTCCAGGAGGTCCTCACCCTGCATGCGACAGATTTGAACTGAGAGGTGAGATGACCAGTGGTCCCATAATGGCAAATGTAGGCTCTAGAGCTTAACTGCCTGTTTTTATGCTTCTGATTTCCAGAAGTTCGCTAATAGAGGTGCCTGAAATTAGGTGGCGATACATAAATGTACAGGTTACTTGGTGCACCTGCTAAAGTTGTTTCGATTCCACTGCTACCATTAGGAATGTTTCTAGCAGTGACAAAAACATAAAAAATACTGTCTTTTTGGCATAGCCTAGAGCCTTTCAACCACTGGATTAGACACAATCAATTCAGCCTGTTGGCTCCACAGGGAGTTGTATTAAAGTCAAAGGTGGCATCTCTTTGGAAGCTGAAATACCAGCCACTCAGTGGGAGAAGAATGGAGAGATGCCTCTGTGTGATTTACAGCTTCAGGACACCTGCCTGTTGGAAGGTCAAGTACGAGTCAGGAATGACTTAGTGGTAATAAAGTTTTGAGTTTTTATTCACTCATGGTAACCTGTGTGACCCAGAAGCAAAGAACAAAAACCAGGATGAAATAATTTCTACGACTGTCAGAAGGAATTTGATGCTGTTGTTGTTGAGGACGGTAGAGTAAGAACCGACCCATAGCTGACATGCCGGCGGGTTTGCAGAGGCAGTTAACCACATGGGAAAAGATTCATCATCCTTCTGACAGGGGTCTTCTATATTTTCAAGGTTTGTTGTTATGTGGCCTAGGTACAACAGCTTTGAACCCTTCTCTATCCCTTGCCAACTTTATTGTCTCTTACACCACTACCCCCATTTCCCCAGTACCTGAATCAATCCATCTCATTGAGGGTCTTCCTCTCTTGTGCTGTCCCTCCACCCTCCCAAGCATGATGTCCCTCTCCAAGGATTGGTCACTCCTTGCAACAGGCCCAAAGTATGTCAGATGAAGCCTCAGAATCCTTGCTTCCCAAGTAGCAGCTTGGCTTCACCCTCTCCAGGACAAACTTGTTTGTTCTCCTAAGCAGTCCATGGTATATTCTATGCTCTTCTCCAGCACCACAGCTCAAAAAATCATCAATTCTCCTATCATTCCTAGTCATTCTCTAGCTTCCTGATGCTTAGCTGGTAATTGTGAAGACAATGGCCTGGATCAGGCGCACCTTAGTCTCTAAGCTGACATCGTTGCTCTCAGTACTCTGGAGAGGCTCCTGACAACAGACTTTCCCAGGGAAATTAGTCTTTTGATCTCCTGGCTGCTGGTACCAAGAGTACTGATTGTGGAGCCAAGCAAACTGAAGCTGTGAACAATCTCAATCTCGTCACCATTTATCATGATGATGCCAATCAGTCCAGTGATGAGAATCTTTGTTTTCTTGATGTTGAGCTTCAACCCATATTGAAGGCTGCAGTCCTTGACCTTCTGCAGCAAGTGCTTCAGATCCTCCTCAGTTTCATCAAGCAAGGATGTGTCATCTTCATAACAGGTTGTTGATGAGTCTTCCTCCAATCCTGATGCCACAGTCCTCCTAATAGAGCCCAGCCTCCTGGAAGATCTGTTCCACAGTTTGTTATGATCCACACAGTCAAAAGCCTTTGCATAGTCAATGAAACACAAATAAACATTCCTCTGGTACTCTGTGCTTTCAGCCAAAATCCATCCAACATTAATGATTATATTCCTAGGACACAGCCTCTTCTAAACCCAGCCTTCACATCTGTCAGTCCTCTGGTGATGTGCTGTTCCAGTTGATGTTGAATAATTTTCAACAAAATCTTGCTTGCATGTGATATTGATATTGGGTTACTGCACTCTGTCATGTCCCTTTTCTTTGGAATGGGAACAAACAATACTTTTATTTTAATGTTAGGGAGTCTGTTGACCTAGAGAATATAGAGTCATGCTTCCAACCCAAAGGGAAGCAGTTCAAATCCGCCAACCGCTTCACAGAGGCAATCTCCTCCGGTGGCGTTTGCTTCCTCTGAAAATGAGCTTCCAGGTCATCTCTGAGCAAGTTCCGATTTGATGACACATATTGACAGCAACACTTAACCATTATGGGGAAAATACATGTATTTGAACCTCTTTGTAAAGTCACATTTCAGTCAATCAGTTTCATCACTGATGTTTGAGTGATAATCCTGACCTTATACTGGATTGTAAATCACACAGCAGGAATCATCCTAACTTTCTCCCTTGAACCAGCAAAGAATCATCACCTTCAACAGTGCAACTTCCAATGGACGAAGCCACCGGAGTTCCCTTCTCATAGTACATGAGATGCCTAACATTAGTACAGTAGCAATAAAGTAATGGATAGAAAAGAATTCATGAAAGAAGACCGAGAGGATCAATTCAAAATTCTTTAGG